TGTAGTACAGACAGATGAAGCAACATCTCCAAGCTTAGGCACAGCTCAGCTGATCCCTTTCAAAACCGTGTGACACCAGTGGATATTTAATTTAGGACACTTGTTAATAATCCTCCCTTCAGGTGTTGTCATTTTCACTTCAGTTACGGTACTTAAGCTTAGCAAGATTGAAAAAAGTTACATCACTGAAGTAAAAGTTGACTTTCCTCCAGCAAATGGTGTGAAAAAATACCTCAGCACAGTAGTCGTATTTAAAAGGATTTTGGTTTTACTGAACCAACAGATTCAGATATTTGATACAAATGCTATGTTTGGATAAATGGCCAAACAACATTACCCACAGAGGGTCTGTAATGTTCAAAGACAGTAACCAAGCAAAGGCGAAAACAACCAATTCAAAATTTATAGATACAACCTCTATTTTTCATGAATTGAGGCTCTGTGTCTCACTGAACACTTCTTTCAGGAGCTGTTCCAACACGGTGTGTGCTACTTGGAAATACAAACACTGCAACTGTTACATATGCATAAACCCTCCCTGCTGCCAGCTTTCTCCCTGAGTGCCCTGAGCAGGTTGCCTCCGTGCAGCTTGGTGCCACGGCACAAACAGATCAAGGACAGGCACAAAGTCCTGTATGCATAAAGGCAACGTGCAGGTTCTTCAAATACCTGGCTCAGATATCATTTCCTTTGTGAGAAACGTTCACGTAATAACAGTCCTACTATTTGTTTTTAATATTCCCTCCTCATGTTCCATAGTCAGTTACTTCTGTTGTTCAGTTTTATGTCCTGCGTCGTTTTGCAGCACTGGGGCTGGAAGGGTTGCTGTTGGCATTTAAGACTTTTTCAGTGACTCTGTTGCGTTTCCTCTTATCAGATCCTTCTTTGGACCCAGAATCTGATGAAGTCTTCTCCTTCTCTTTGCTGCTTGGCTTCTCAGTTGTTTTTCCTAAACTTCCAGAAGGTGTAAAAACTGAAATAGGATCAAAGTAATGATTCCAGATCAGACTCGTGCACGTAGGCAAACAAGAACTGATATAAAATCTCTTTATATTACATGAAACGTTTCAAATAAATACATTCTCAGCGCCTTTAAAATCCTTTAAGTATTACTTTCACTTTTAAAAAGGCATGGCTTTCTTTTATTATTTGATTTCAAAGATGGGCATGCATGTTGACAGGACAGAAATGACATTCATTAAGTGGAAACGAGCAGCACTTAAAATACTTAATGGGAACACTTTACATAGGACCAACCTGTGAGATTTATAATGAGCAGTGGTCATTACATTTGGGATTTTAGATAGGTTTTAAAACAGAACACCCAAAATGTGAAATTTCATATATTTTTAAAATACATTTTTAGACCTTTATTACACTCATCCTTAAAACACTTATTCTGCAATATTATGACATTATACAGTTAACAGTTGGCTTGGTCTGTTAAGCTAAATAGCAGGACCTCTACTGTCTGTGGGTGACTTTGTTCTATAGCAAAATATTTTTCAAAAGTAACATTTTCACTCATTTAAAGAGGCAAGATAATGCATAACAAACACAGCCAAACCCAACCTCACTCTGCTCTCCTTCTCATTTAATTATCTCAAGTTTTGATTTATTGGCCTTAATTTCTAATAAAGAAATCTAACAATCACAGAATGGCCCAGGTTGGAAGGGACCTCAAGGATCATGAATCTCCAACTCCCTGCCACATGCAGGGCCACCAACCTCCACCTTTAATACCAGCTCAGGCTGCCCAGGGCCCCATCCAACCTGGCCTTGAACACCTCCAGGGACGGGGCTGCCACAGCCTCTCTGGGCAGCTGTTCCAGCACCTCACCACTCTCTCTGTAAAGAACTTCCCCCTGACATTCAACCTAATTCTTCTCTCCCTCAACTTCAAACCATTTCCCCTTGTCCTGCTGTTATCAACCCTTTCAAAGAGTTGACTCCCCTCCTGTTTATAGGCTCCTTTTAGGTACTGAAAGGCCTAACTTAGAAGCTATAGAACTGCACACATGAATTAGGAGTGAGGCAGAATTCTCCAAAAGAATCAGATTCTGTAACTTCCTACATTACTCTAGTTCTTTGCAATAGGCACATGCTCAGTCCGAACAGAAATTACAAAATACACTATGTATGATATTTACATTTTAACATTAATTTTTCAGAAACATGGTTGGTTTTTTTTTAATCTCATTACACAGCAGAGAGTTACAAATTTACCTTCTTCTGGACCTGCATGTGTTTCCATCTCTTCTTTTATCTCCTCTTTCATTTCTTCTTCAATCATCACTTTTCCTGTGGAATTGGTCATTAAGCAATGGTTAGATGGTTTTCAAGAACCATACAGAGTCTTTCTCCATTAGCAACCTCAGCATATGTGCAGTGTGCACAGACATTAGGCATAACAGTAATGCTCTTAGAATTAAAGCATACAAACTATCCTAAAAATAAGCATGTCCTAACAGTAAAAATGCAACGGTTATACCAGCAATAGGTATTTGCTACAAGTCCAAGTCGAATGGAAGTTTCTTCTACTACTGAAACTGTAGATATACAGTAAAAGTACTTTTCTAATGTATGCTTTGAAACATTTGCTGAAGTGCTGTTCAGTGGCCTTAATCATTCATATTCAACATACAGCCATAGAAATATTATATACAAAGTATATAGAGAAATGTTATTACACTCCATAGACTGCCCCATAGCTTCTTTCTGAAAAGATCTTGCTACAAAATGAACCACATAAAAGTGCACAGATGATCTATTTCAGCAAAAAGGTCCACCTTAATCCAACAGAAGTCTCAACAAAATGCAAAACCACGCAATAAACAACTAACTGCAAAGAAACACAGTCTGTTTTTCATTCTGAAAACAGGCAGCAGTGAAGCATGTGGATTTTTTGCCCAGAAGCTGAATCTACATGGTATAAACAGAACCTGCTTGTGCCATATTAGCATTCATCTTTATTATATTTAAGAATACAAGGAATACTGTGTGGAATTTGACCAAAGGTCTGTCTTGCCCACTAGCCTACTTTCTACAGCAGAGAATCAAAGAGGCTGATAAATGGGGAATATGAACAACACCAGCAGGGTGATCCTTTCCCCGATTATTTCCTTCAGCCAGCAGATTCAAAAGATGTATCTGTTCTCTATCATCAGTACACCTAACACACCAGTCTGAAAGAATAGCGATGTATTTATGCTAGTAGGGTACATTGTTATGTTCTTTTCTGGGAGTTCTGTTAAGCTATTTGTTCTGTGATGGGCCTAGAGCAACAAAAAATAAAAGATTTTTATCACATCTTACCTTCTCTCACTTCTTGAATCAGTTCATCAGGAAGAATAAAATTCTTCTCTATATTTGGAAATGGAAGAATCTCAGATTCATGCTTAGTAAGAAAATAAAGATTTTTATGATTGATCTTGGTAAAAATAAAAAAATATACATAGAGAATAGAAATGCAATCTCAAGCTCTATTTTAAGTGCACTTAGTAGCTAAGTAATTCTTAACAATTCTCAGATACTAGGGAGTAAGGATGCTCCTGATGTCAAACTGGTTCCTAAGTTGAGATCACGACTCATGACCATTAGAGACCATTTCTGGAACCATGCTGTGGCAGACTCTTAAAGATATATATAAGCTGTCTGTTTGGTACCTAAATACCTGTGTTAATGTTTGCTGGATCAGCTCTTAGGCAATTAAAAATAAAAATAGAATAAAATCACTAAAAAGTCAGAACTCAGTATGGCAAAAAGGAAAATGCAAACCAAAACACAGTAAGTTTTATAGCCTCCCACCTAATGCACTTTCATACAGGAAAAACTTCATCACCTCACTGAAACACACACAGTGTTCTGTAGCTTGAGAGCTGTCAGGTGCCAGGGATTACGGCCAATCAGGACTTCCTCATACTCACAAGAGCCTGCATGTCATACATGGTGCTCAGATGGTCCCAAATCACTTTGGAAGAAATCTGCCGTCCAATATTCTGGCTGAATTTATCTCGGATACAAATCATGTGAAAATGGCGATTCACACCTGGGGGGAGAACTCAGTGCAATTAACACTGCCAACAGCTTCCTTTGTGTCACAAAATAATATCAATCATCAAAAAACCAAACAAACTATAATCACAGGGAAATCACAGAATGGCCCAGGTTGGAAGGGACCTCAAGGATCACGAATCTCCAACTCCCTGCCACATGCAGGGCCACCAACCTCCACATTTCATAGCAGCCCAGGCTGCCCAGGGCCCCATCCAACCTGGCCTTGAACACCTCCAGGCACGGGGCATCCACAGCCTCTCTGGGCAGCTGTTCCAGCACCTCACCGCTCTCATAGTAAAACATCCAATCTAAATCTTCCCTCCCTAGATGGGGCCATCACACAGCACGGCGAGATGAACGGCATCCCGTCAGCACTGCCCGGCTGTTTCTGCACCCTGCACCGCAGGCGCCGTTCTGGAGATGAGCCGCGGTTGCCCCACTCGGCGCAGCCAGAGCTTTCAGAGAAACGGTGCGAGAAAACAACCCCAGGAGGACAGGGAGAGAGGAGGGCGGGCCGTGCGGGCCGAGAAGCGCGGATCGGGAGGGGCGGGCACGGCTCCGCACGGCGCTCGCGCTGCCCGGCCCGGAGGCCGCTGGGAGCGGCGGCCCAAGCAGCGCCCGCCCGGCCCCGGCGCCCGCCTCCGCAACCCGGCCAACGCCGCTACTCGAGGCCGAGGCTCGGCGCGGCCCGCTCTCACCTACGGGCTTGTGGCCCAGCATGGCGTGGAAGAGGCAAACCTCCACTTCGGGGCTCCACACCACCACCGCTTCTTCCGCCGGCACGCCGGGCTCCGGGGCGGAGGCGGCCGCCGCCGCGGCGGCCGCAACAGCAGCGGCGGCGGCAGCGACCGCCGCGGCGCTCCCGGGTCCGGCCGAGGGCAGCGGCGGTTTCTCCGCAGCGGCGGCCGCGCCGCCCTCCGCCTCGCCCATGGCCGTGCCGTGCCGTGCCGTGCCGTGCCGCCGCGCGGCGCCCTCTGCCGTTCCCCCGCGCCGCCTCCCGCAGCGGCTCCTGGCGGCCGGAGGAGCGGGCCGGGCTGTGCTGGAGGGGGGGCAGTTTTGAGCGGTTTTACTTCAGGTTTTCGCTGGAGCTGCTGCCGAAAGGGAGATTTCGCGTGGCACTGCGCGCCTCAGCACCGCAAACCGCTCCTCCTGTGCTCGTCGTTTAAGGCGTGAAAGCGTTTCATTTGGGAAGAAAGGACACAGCGATTCCTCCGTAGTGTGGATTGGTGTTTTTTTGGCCGCTTGGCCGTTATCACCACGTGTGATATCAGCACAGGGCTTCTGTCGCTCGCGGGGTCAGGTTTTCCAGTTGCTCGCTTCAGAACTTAATCCTTTAGGTGACATTAAAATGAATTCTGTAACAAATGGCAGTGATATACGTAAAGAACGACCGCTCTGAGTCAGTAATAAAACAGCGTGGGCAGAAACTCACAAGCAGAAAGACATCTTCATGCAAATTGTCCAAACAATAAGAAGTAGGAAGGTGAAAATGCTACTGTCAGAAATGGGAATTTTCTGTACGTCTGTTACTCAAAGAATTAACTAACTCATATGGCCCCATACCATGCTTATACCTCAAGCAGATTAACATTCAGGGAGCATTTGAAATGAGTTGAACCCAAAGCATGCAAGCCCTGGGAGGTTTGGAGGTAAGGATGGGGTTGGAAATGGATCTCTGAGGTTTCTTTCCAACCCAAACAATTCTTTGATTCCATGATACAAATTCTGGTTTCTACATGGGTTCAGGTGGAAAATGGAGAGGAATCTCTTACTCAGTCTGGTTTAGATGCTGTTGAAATTTTCCAGGAATCCTGTTTCTGTGACAGCCTGAATCACTGTGACAGAAATCTTGATGTGGAAAAGCCATGCCTGCAAGTCGACCTTTTCTGTCTGCTGTCAGCTCCGTACCCACAGCCTGCTTGTGACAAATTTGCCTTCACACAGTTTTGCCTTCACAATAGTTTCCTCATTTTGAGCCATAACGTGGTGTAGGGAACCTGCTTTGGCAGGGGGGTTGGACTCGATGATCTCTGGATGTCCCTTCCAACCCCTACAATTCTGTGGTTCTGTGTGATTCTGTGATAATTATACCGAGTGATAATGTGATAATTATATCGAGTTGGTGTACCAACTCGAATTTGCTGATCTTCAGTAGAAATCCACATACTTTCCCGTTAAATCCAGCCCTAAACCCAAGAAAACTCTCAGACCTGTTTAGTCTTCCAATGTTTATTTGATCTATGCTGCTACCTAGTCTTAATCTGCTATCAAGAGACAGTTATGTTTTCCTGTGATGGCTGCACAGCAGGAGTAAATGAGTTCCTGAACAACTAAATTCCTGCTTTATACACATGTTTCTAGGCACAGAAAAATGAAGGACAAAATAAAAAGAAAGTAAATTACAGAGTAGAAAAATTGTCCCCCAATAGAGTAGTTTTCAAAGTTTTACAGGAATAATTTTTTATTTTTTTTTAAGTCTGTATGAAATGCTGAGCTTCAGCAATCTCATCTGTCAAATTATGCTTCTGCTTAAAAGCTATCATCAAGAGGGAATAACTGTATTAACTCAGATAGCAATTTTTATGTCATTGAGTTCCGAGGATTAAAAAGAAGAAGACTGAAACAGTAGAACATATGGCTACCTCTGAAAGTACAATAGCATATGAAAATAATTTAATTCAATACAATAACATTAATTCAACAGGAAGAGTATATACATAAATTGGTTGCTATTTTGTTTCAATCACAAATAATTACATTTCCCTGTGTCCAAATTTCCTTATTTCTTCAAATGCCTCTAGGAAACATATGGGAGCAGATAATTACACCATGTACAGCATCTGCATGGATTAGGACTAGAGTTAAATTTTTCTCTTCTTATACTTTAGATGTTTATTTTTTCCCCTTGTTGAACAGATTTTTCAGATTCTGACAGTTTTACCCTTTGCTTGTTCAGGTTTAAATCTCACTTGCAGTTTTAAGTAGGCATCAGCAATATAAGGCATGCGTAATTTAGATTTTCTCCTTTTCTTCTCACATTTTAGGTGATTCTCATTCTTAGAAATACAGCTGACTGTTGTAACAGCTAAGAGTGCTCAGCCCTTTGCTCTCCCCAAGAGAGACATGATATGTCATAAGGCATTGAAGTCTGAACAACTGAGAATTGTGTGAAGCGTTTGGCATTCTCTCTAGAAGAATCTGATTTCTGGGGTAAGCAATATAGCTGCAGCCATTTCTGTCATTATCTTTGAACACCATGTGTTAGTGCTTGTAATAAAATTAAAACTTCACTCTGAATACCCAGTAACTTTTGGTACATCACATAGACATTTGTAAAAGGAATAACATTTGAATACTTTTGTATTAAAATCAGTTTGCTAATTGATTTTAGTGCATCTTTGGTATAGAATCTAAAATAATTTTTCTAATGTAAGTAGGTGAAACCTCTTGAGACCCTTACTGAACATTACCATTTATTCTATAGATACTGCATTTTGCTCAAGCCTGTGGACAGATGTCACTGCCAAAGCTGAGGTATATGCTCAGAAATTGCTGTTTAATGTTGAGTGGGTGTCACTGGCCATAGCTGTTTTTCAATTTTGACAGAGTGGGTTATTACCTATGATATTATGCCAGTTTTCATTACATACATAGATTTCTACATGCAGAAATACATGCATTTGAGGCCCAGTTCTGCACCAAATCACTCAGGGACCAGTAAACCTTACAACAAGAAAAGTAATCTCAGTGCCTTGACATCTTTCAATATTTCCAATAAAATATTCTTTGTGAAAAGGACCTCCTGAAGAGTTCTGATCTGATTTGTAAGCTTTTCCTGTACTTTCAAAATCTGTTATTTCAGTGTGAAATGTGTGGGAAGTTTTGCTTTAGCAGAGCTGGATAGGGAGTTGGAACTATCAGTGGTAGTAGTTTGAAATAGATCTGCTTTTCTCCCATAGGACCTGTCAAGAAGGAAGAATCAAAAGGATGAGAAGCCTCTGTGTTGTTGGAGTCCTGTCACACAGAGCTCTTTAGAGAAGTGCTGCTTCTTCCAGCTGAGAGCCAAGAAGATGCTCCCCAGGTTTCTTCCAATTACCCAAGTTCTTAGCAAAAAGCTGTGTTTGATTGTTTCAAACAAGAACATTGAACAGGGAGTGCACTCTTTGACTTGGCCTACCAATCTTCTCACAGGGGCACAAATACTGCATTTGGTTCTAAATAAGGTGGTGGTGGGGAAGCAGCATAAGAAAGAGAAGCAGCTGTCAGACAGAGGATACGTTCTGTTTGATGAGACATATGTTCTTCAGCTGAACTTTTCCCTTGTGATCTGTTGTGCTCATTCTCCCAGCAGAGAGAGGCTACATATTAGATGGGCATCAGATGGCAAGCCTTAGAAAAATAGATTGAAAAACAGCGCAAATAATTATCTCTAAGCACGCACAGAGGCATTCATTATTGCTACTGTTATGCTTCGAAACATCACAGTGCAGAGTGAGGAGTGGGAAAAGAAAAGCCATCTCACTTATTTTTCAGTTTAAAACATACATCATGTCCCTGGCTTACAAAGAAGCTTTAAAAAAGAACCAGCGAATGTAGCATGAACCAATTCCAGGTGAACACAAGAATCAATTCATGAATGCTTGGATGTCCCAAGCCAACATCAGAAGACTTCACAGCACAATTTATTGAAGGTGATAGTGCCTAAATTGCCTGCCAAGCTAAACGCACACTATCCAATCTGGTCAGTATAAATTTAAGGATGTTTTTTTTCCTTGACAGTTACATTGCTGCAATCAGGATTGTTCTAATAACCATTTTCTTCTTTGAGGCACTATTCAAAACAAAATTACTACTTTAAAATAAATTAAACAAACAAACAAACAAACACACTTGCATAAACATAAAAAGAGTCTTCAGAAGTACAACAGACAAGTATTATACCTGACCAGCTCACAATAAAACAACAACAGCACTTCACACTCAGCCTTATGCTGTGGAAAAGGGTGGCAGCAGATTTTCACACTCCTATAGGCACATACAAGCCTTTATGGGGATATACAAGTCAGGGATTTAGGGGTTTATGTTAAGGCCTTTTCTTTTGCATTTCAACTTTGAATACCTGAGGACATTCACAACTACCCTTCAGCAGCATCTGTTAGGGAACAACATCTGGGTAATAAACATTAATAAGATTACTTCCTAGAATGGATCCCATGCATTGGCAAACAATGATGTGCCAGGAACAGGCTCCAGCTGCAGCAGGCCAGGCAATGCTGTTACAGAAATCTGTGGAAACTGCAGGCTAGTTTGAAATTTGCCTTGCAATGATGATGTCAGTAGCACCATTCAGGACTAACATGAGTTGATTTTTCAAAGAAAGTCTGAACTTGCCCAAAGCATAGAAATATGGCTCTATATGTAAGGTGTCTCAAAAACAAGAGTCTACAAACTGTTAGTAACAGTATCTCTGTTCTTCATTAGAAGTGGAGAATGGACCTGTCCTACCTCCTGTGGTGTTTTACAAACACTGCCATTTTGATTCCAAAATTTTAAACCTGATGTTCTATTTACAGACCCAAGCCAGAGCCGTATAATTCTCAATTTGTCCACACATATGAGGAACATAACTACTCACATAAGCAAATACTTGATAAATCAGCTTATTTGATAAAGGGGCTAGACCTGTTGAAGCAAATTCCTCACTGTATATGAAGTAAAGTCCATCACATTGAGAAGGAATTGAATTCCAAGAAATCATCAATATGTCTGCAGTGGCTCAGTTGGTAGGAGATGCTCTAACGTAGGTCAGAGCTTGCTTTCAACCTGACAGATGCTACTGTGTCAGATTGGGAACAGCTTCAGCTGGAGTTGCCTAAGGTCTGTGAGTTTTGGCCTTCATTATTGCCAATGAATCCACCGCCGTCTTTAATGAATACAAAGACCAACTGCAAAAGTTATGCTTCAGTGTTAAGGGGAACAAAAACCCATTGATATCGGCAAAGGTGGAATTTCATACAGGCTGTATTCTTGTCTCTACTTATTCAGCAGGTAAGGCGACATCAGTAAGGAGAGACAGGAGACAGTTGGTTACTATATTCCAGGCCTGCAGCTCTTACTTTTTTATTGTTGTAATTTACAGCACATATTTCAAAGCCAGTTATTCCCTCTAAAACTGCACAGAAACGCCAGAGAACCCATAGCAGTAATTTAAGTATTTGGATTAGATTTGAAGCATAGAAGTGTTTTCATCTTCACAGCCAATGAAATGTCATTTTGCACCATGTGCATGCCTAGGGCATCTCAGGAAGAAAAAACCCTCGAATAAATAAACAGGTTTAAAGAAAAGCTGCAGTCAACACTGTCATGACTGATATCACTGTATGAAAATATTACTTAAATACAAGGAGTTCATTCTTAAATCCCGTCTTTCAAAGCTAAGATAGTCTGTCATCCAATGTGTTCTCCAGTTGTCATTCATAGAACAAATCAGAAGCTATTACAGGCTGTACCTGTCTGTAGTTCCCCAGCACCTCCTGTGGCTAGAAGACTTTGGGTAGCAGCATCCATGACATGAGGGATTTGTATTAGGGAAGCCTACCATGTTTCTTTTCTGATTCAGCAGGCAGAACTTTATTCCGGTGCTTTGTTGCTTGTATATTAAACCAATGATTTTATAAATTGTACAATTATGTACATATAAGCTGATGTAAAAGTCAGTGATGCCAATAAGCTGCTGCTTAAGAAGTCTGACAAATCCTGTCTTACCTTCGTGAGAGACTTATTTGCATAAGCCTCTCATTGGATCAGTAGTTTTTTACTTCACTCCCAAAATTTCAATTACCACCTTCTGCACTGTTTCCTACTACAAGAAGCACTACGTAATTAAACTCTATCCTTGGTCTTGGAAGAACATAGAGTGGGTTGATACACACTGATTTGGCCACAGTGCTCTACTGCTTTGCTATGATCACTGTCTGTCTTCGAATTACTGGTTCTACTTTGCCAATTATTAATTTTCTCAGCATTCCCTACCCCAAAATTGCTATTTAAAGATAGAAGCAATTAGCATTAAGTCCAACCCCCATCTCAGATTCCTACCAAATGCATTGTTTTCAGTCTGTAAGCAGTTTTATGTATGTATCATAATTCCCACATGAACACAAATGTTGAGTATTCTGGGACCAGCTGAAATTTACAGACCTCTTCTTTAGAAGAGCCTCAATTTTCTTCTGGAATGAAAGTAACTTGCACATTAAAATACATTTTTTCTTTTTGCATTTTTGGAATAACCTTCCTCCCTTTGCATAATGGATAGCAGCCTTAACACATCCTGTTCCTTCAAGTGCATCAGTTGCATGGAATAAGGATCTCATTTTCACACAAATTCTATGGCAGGGCAACCTGACGGACTGAAATTCAATGAAAATCACATAAAATTGAAAGAGAGCAGATGCCATTGTAAGTGATGACAGGGTAGCACTCTCACTATCATCTACTTTGCATAATCACATTAGCAACAAAGCCAGTTAGCACATTTGACAGCTTTTCCCAGCAAGCTGTAACTGCAAGCTTTTTGGAAGGAGACAGAACTACTTCTCCTATTTAGGATTTCTCAATTGCCTCAGCCATTCACACTGGTTCTATGTTCCTTGACACAATATCAGAGGTAAAGTACCATATTTAAGCAATTTTCTAAATGATAGGAAGGCCCCAGTTTCCATCATCATCTGTAACTTTATCATTTAGCTCTGCGATAAATCTACAAAAATTATCTATTTGGCTTTATCTTGTGTGTGTAGGGCATATGTTTAAAAGCTCAGCTGTTCTTTGTTTGGAGCAATGATGTGAGACATGGGATACTAAGTTTAGGCTGGCTTTGGATCCCACCTACACATCCTGGTGCTACTGACTCATCCTGCAGCTCGGGTAAGAGTAATCAAATACCTCTTTCTCTTACCTCATTCATAAAGCTTGCACTTTTCTTACATTCCCATTAGAAAAATACCTCCTGTCCAAAAGAAATGCTGATACAGAATGTGCTGATATCTGTGGGTGTCATTCTCCTGGCTTCAGGATACTTTAGATCAGCCGTTTAGGAAGCCATTAGGAATGGGAGATAAAGGAGTAGTGTTTGCTACATATTGTCCCCTTACCGTTGGAGGAGAAAAGTAATTTAAGAATTTCCTAGGCAACATCGAGCTTTGTGATTCTCTCAACCACTTTGTACTTATCTGTAAATCTCAGGCCTGGAGGTCATTTAGCATACAAGAGATAGTACTGTACGGGCAAAGAATTAGAGAGGATAAAAATCTCTTTTTTTTTCTAATCTTCCTTCACTGGCTAGTTTTCCTATTGGCCAAGATCCCTCTGTCTGTCTGCATGAGATAATGGCAGAGCTGACCCTTCTTCCACACAATATCAGTACATTCATTAACTACTAACGTCATCCTGGTTGAGGGATGTTTTGTGAAGTCACAAACCTCACATCAGCTATCTGTGTATTTTGGAGACTGTACATTTGTGAAGGAAAACGTGATGTCTTTCATTTACATCCGTGAAATTTACACTCAGAGCTAACTCCAGGTGTCTCAGAACACAGTTCTTTTCCCAGCTCTCTTTGCTGCTAAGAGATAACCAAACCTAAAAGAAACAGTTGTTTTTTGTGTTTTTTTTTTTCCCAACAGCTTCAGAGACACTAAATTAGGCCCTAGGTTTTCCAGCACTGCCAAAATGGGAATTATTTAATCAATTTCTGACTTTCAAAAGTTTTTCTTTTCCTATTCACTATTAGAAGCAAATGAAACTTCATTTGGAATCTCTATGCATCTTGCTGTATAATAGATTACAGTGTACTTTAAGAAAACAATAAAAATAAAGAAAAACCAGTGTTGCTGTAACAGTAGGGAATTTGGGGCTCAGGTGAACTATAATGGGTCCTATTAACATTGCACAACAGAATTCTGAATTTCTCCTGCAATGATGATAAATATTTACAAGATGAAAAGAAAGGCTTTATTCCCAGGGTTTTATTTATCCTCCTTGGAAGCCATTACCTGAAGTGCTTTCTACTTTTGGTGATGTTAAACATAATCATTTCAATTTTTCAATCCAGTGACTAAGCCTCCACTAGAAAATATTTACAACTGTGATAATTTTAGAATAGAATTTATGTCTGCTAATGTTTTTTGATGCTTTTAAAGGAAGAGTTGTATGACCTTAGAACTATCACCCGACCTTGGTGAAACCATCCAGCTCTGCTGAGTACAAGCCTTCCACAAAACCTGCTTGTCAGCTGAATTTCTCTGAAATTCCCTTTTTATTTTGTCATTTTTCCCCTGTATCTGGCTCTGTTGTTCGTTTTATTTCTTAATCCAAAGGCCAAATGCTCAATAGTCAAAAAGGAGAAAGATCTAAAATGAGGAATGGAAAAAACAAGATTTGCAGCAAATTTAAAATGCTGGGTTATTTACCGACTTTGTTAAAGGATCCCCTGCAAACTGCTCTCATAATTGGCTTTTTTTTAATGGGAAGAATTTTCCTCAATGTTAGAACATGAATGTAGAGTTAGCTCTGGGACTAACATGACTGCTGTCCTTTTACAGCTGCCTGATTTTCATTCTCAGAGGTGAATTTGATGTTACTCTCATTTCAGAAGTTCTAGTCTTATACAGAACATTTAATCTGCTACTGCCTTTCTGACATTGTCCGGCTGTGATGATCTGTGGTGGCTTTCCAACAAAGGCACAGCACAAAAGTGGCACTTTCTCCCCATTTTGTATATAGGAATTTCTGAAGTTGTTTTAAAGATTCTTTCTTTATTCATTTAACTTATTTCCAGTCAAAGGGAGTCTAATTAATTCCATCTGAATATTCTCCATGATCAAAGGGGGGTCATAAGGGACATCTTTCTACCCTTAGAAAAGGGTGTTCAGCTGTTTCTGTACCTCCGTATGGAAGTCAGGTAGGAATGGCAGGCAGTGCTGACATCCTTTCCTCTACACCTGCAGTCAGAATCTGAGAACAGAATAAGATGCATTCACCACTTCAAATTTTTTTTAAGTTATTCTTCTTTGAGTCAGCTTAGCTGGGTCATTAAGAAAAATAACCCTCTTTTGTTTTTTATGTTTTACCTTTTATCTCTACCATTCACTTCAGTGTATTAACTTATTTTTATGTCTCAGTGGGATTATTTCTAAATTGTTCAAATTCAGAACCATTTCTGTTTGCTCTCACCATGACAAAGGCAGACATATGCAACGCTGTGCTCTTCTACTCAGTGCTATTGCATAGAATTGCTGATTAGTTGGCTTTGTACTTGTCCTCCAGACTAATTTATAAAACTAACTCTAACAACAGCTATTTGAAACTTCTGACTCCAATACAAATAAAATTCAGGTTCATAACAGAAATTTCAATAATGAACAAGTTTCCAGAAAATGAATTTAAAAATCACAGTCTTACTGGAACAATGAATGCACTATATATGCTTCTCTCTTTACTCTTTTGTTAAAAACATGCTACACATTAATCAACAGACAATTGAACATGATGATGATCTTGTGTTTTATGACACTGAAGTTAATGAAGTAAATTCAGTGACTGGATTTTCTCCTGATTCATGCTAGTGCAAACAGAAAGAGGCATTGTGTCTATGTGGCAGTACAGTTCAGAGCATATAGCTATTTATTTTATACAACGCTTTCTTTTGTCTTCAGTTTGGAATAAAAATTGCTATTTACATTGCAAAAAAAACCCACCAATCATTTAAGATAATGTAATTTTAAAACGATGCGACCTATTATAACTAGAGGGCAGCTGAGGGAAAAAGCTTTTCATTACGACTATTATTGCATTGTGAGTCTGAATTTTTTCCTCAATTTACTGTTGAATTGAGTCTTCTGCCAGGAGATACTATGTTATGCTCGTTTTTCTCTTTAGAACATTAATGGAAGTTTATAACTAACATAATTGAGATCAAGCATCAGATATCAAATGGATATTGCTTGATGTAAGAGATGCCTTTTTGGCTGCTTTATAAGCTCTGCTGATGTCAACAACTGAAAACCTGACTGTTCTTCAGAATAGTGATTACAAGCTTTTTTGTGCATTTGCATTCAGCCTCAGAACGTAAACACTCTGTAATCCACATGGCTTGAGCCAGTGTTTACATGGATTTCAGAGCTCACATGACATACAAATTCAGGTCCTCTTAGGAAATGAGGGCAACCAAAGCTTAATGCAAACTGATTACTTGTCTTCTTTCTATTCCCTGACAATTTCTTCCTTCTTTCAAAATTCAAAATTTAAATTTTGTAAGTAATTAAACATAGCTCTGACTTCATAATGTAAAAGTGGCTTTCTTTTAAGAATGCCATGGCTGCTAAGATGATAATGGATGCTGGATACCTGCATACCCGAATTTCAGTGCATTTTAAAGTTCTCACAGCATTTCTTTCCTTCTCTGACACCATATCTCTCCTGACTGAGAAATTAGCACTAGCAGCATTAATTGCATAACTTTACATTCACTTGTACTTGTCCTGTAGTGGTGTTGTTGTGTATGATATAGCAAAGCAGTAATATTTTCTAGTCTGAAAGTTTCAGTTCTCTAACCTTTTCACAGGTGACCACTG